TTTGTGATACAAATAAAATTGGTTATATTCAGCACCAACCTTTTTTTCATGATATATGTATGTAACATAAAAAAATATCAACAAAAAGAGATTGAACAAATACAATTAAAATTACATATCAATATTTGCTTTCCTTTGTTATTACTAAAATTGAATTGGTTTTATATGTGTGATGATAAAATAAATGGTTCGGCAGAAGGTTTATAGTTATCCAAATTCATTGTATAATATATCAAATTAAAGTTCTGTCCTTCTAGTTTCCAAAGGTTCAGCGCTCATCAATTGGATTTTTATTAAGCAAGTTATGACTAATTTATTACTGGCTATTAAGTGTAAATCGAAAAAGAGGGGAAACCAAAATGTTTGTGATGATAAAAGAAATTATTCAACAATGGGGCTACAGTTATCCAAATTATGCGTATAACATATCAAATTAAAGCTCTGCATATCTAGTTTCTAAAGATTCAAACGGCTCATCAATTGGAGTTTTATTGAGTAAGTTATGGTCAATTTACTACTGACTGTCCAGCGGAAACTAAAATGTGTATCATGATAAAAGGAATGGTTTGATAGTGGGGCTATAGTTATCCAAATTAAAGGTATAATATGTAAAATTAAAGCTTTGTTTGTCTAGTTTTTAAGGATTCAAACCTCTCATCAATTGAAGTTTTATTGAGCAAGTTATTGTCAATTTACTACTGACTTGTGATGATAAAAGGAATTGTTTGGAAGTGGGGCTACATTTATCTAAATTAAGTGTACAATATTTAAATTTGAAGCCTTGTCTATATAGTTTCTAAAGATTCAAATTGGAGTTTTATTGAGCAAGTTATGATCAATTTACTACTAACAGTTCAGTAAAAACTAAAATGTGTGTAATGATAAAAGGAATAGTTCGACAGTGGAGCTAAAGCTATCTAAATTAAACTTATAATATATCAAATTAAAGTCCTGCCCATCTAGTTTCCAAAGATTTAAATCTCTTATCAATTGGAGTTTTACTATGCAAGTTATGGTCAGTTTACTCTTGACTGTTCAATGGAAACCAAAATGTGTGTGATGATAGAAGGAATTTTTTGGAAGTGGGGCTACAGTTGTCTAAATTAAGCAGATAATATATCAAATTAAAGCCCTGTCTGTCTAGTTTCCAAGGATTTAAACCGCTCATCAGTTGGAATGTTATTGAGCAAGGTTTGGTCAATTTACTACTGATTGTTCAGTGGAAACCGAAATATATGTGATGATAAAATGAATGGTTCACTAAAGCTACATGGTTTGGCATCAAACATCAGTTAGCATTTGTTAAATAAATGAAATTGGTTATATTTAGCAACAATCTCTTTTCGTAATATACGTATGTAACATAAAAAAATATCAACAAAAAGAGATAGAACAATTACAATTAAAGTTACATATCAATATTTATTTTCCTTTAAGGATAATAATAATGGTTCGGCATATTACAAATGGTTTACGAAAGCTAAATGATTTGGCAACAAACATCAAATGATATTTGTTGTACAAATAAAATTGGTTATATTCAGCAACAACCTTTTCTCGTGATATATGTATGTAACATAAAAAAATATTAATAAAAAGAGATAGAACAAATACAATTAAAACTACATATCAATATTTGTTTTCCTTTGTCATCATTAAAATTGAATTAGTTTTATGTGTGTGATGATAAAATAAATGGTTCAGTAGTAGTTCTATAGTTCTCCAAATTCTTTGTATAATATATCAAATTAACGCTCTATCTTTCTAAATTTCAAAGATTCAAACCGCTCATCAATTGGACTTTTATTGGGTAAGTTATGGCCAATTTACTACTGAATGTTCAGTGGAAATCAAGAAACAGGGGAAACTGAAATATGTGCGATGATAAAAAGAATGGCTTGTCCGTGGGGCTACTGTTATCCAAATTACGCGCATAACATATCAAATTAATGTCATGTTTGTCTAGTTTCTAAAGATTCAAACCTCTCATCAATTGGAGTTTTATTGAGCAACTTATGATCAATTTACTACTGATTGTTCAGCAGAAACCGAAATGTGTGTGATGATAAAAGAATGGTTTGGCAGTGGAGCTACAGTTATCAAAATTAAGCATATAAAATTGAAGCCCTATCTATGTAGTGTCTAAAAATTCAAACCTCTCATCAATTGGAGTTTTATTAAGCATATTATGGTCAATTTAGTACTGATTGTTCAATAGAAACCAAAATGTGTGTGGTGATAAAAGTAATAGTTTGGCAGTGGGACTACAGTCATCCAAATTAAGCATATAATATATAAATGAAAGCCCTATCGGTCTAGTTTTTACAGATTCAAACCTCGTATCAATTGGATTTTTATTGAGCAAGTTATGATCAATTTACGACTTATTGTTCAGTGGAAACCAAAATGTGTGTGATGAAAAAATGAATGGTTTACTAAAGCTACATGGTTTTAGCATCAAACATTAGTTGATATTTGTTAAACAAATAAAATTAGTTATATCCAACAACAATCTCTTTTCATTATATACGTATGCAATATAAAAAAATATCAACAAAAAGAAATTAAACAATTACAATTAAAACTACATGTTAATATTTGTTTTCCTTTAGGGATAATAATAATGGTTTGACATATTACAAATGGTTTACTAAAGCTATATGGTTTGGCATCAAACATCAGTTGATATTTGTTAAACAAATAAAATTAGTTATATTCAACAACAACCTCTTTTCATAATTTATGTATGTAACATAAAAAAATATCAACAAAAAGGGATTAAACAATTACAATTAAAACTATATATCAATATTTGTTTTCCTTGAGGGATAGTGTAAGAATTCTCTCACTATTATCAAAACTATCAAAAGTGTGGTGAGAGACAAAGCCATGGACCCAGCAATATTAAATCTTCCCATAAAAATAGGAAGTTGGTTGATTCATGGAGACTTCCTAAAACCATCTTCAAAGACACCCATTCCACTCCCGACGTTATTGATGACCATGTGATTGCGTGAGATGTTGTTTTTTCATTGAGAGACTTACTAGCTTGCTTGTTGTTATTGTGAAGAATTTGTCGTGGTGTATCCTCACTCTTTTTGTTTTCTTTGCCTTGAGTCTTCTTTGTGTCTCATTGTATGTGTTTTTTGGAGCCAAACCTATGTGATTGTCTTGAGGATGGTGTTTTGTTGTTGATTTCTTAGCTAGATTCTTTCTCTTGGATCTTATCTCTCTTTTCTCTTGGTTTAGATAGGTTCCCAAGAGAATTGTGCAGCATTAGGTTTAGGCATTTGTTTATTTTTTGCACCCTACACGGGGATGTCTCGATGGAGATTGGCCGCCTTTTTTGTGGGCTTTTGTAAATCCTCTTCTTTTTAATAAAAGTTACTTACTTAGCAATATATAATTATATATATATATATAATATCTATATATATATATATAGATTTGTTTTCCTTTCTCATTACTAAAATTGAATTCGTTTTTATGACACAAATCCTCACATATTTATTTTGAAATGTCGAATGATACCAGTCCTCACAGGTCATCATCACTTGATTTTTCCGAAACAGATGAAAATGAAGATGGAAAAGATGCGTAAAGTAATCAAATAGGACTATAACAATACAACAGCGAATGAATTCCAACCAATCAAAGATGCGTAGAGAAATGAATACATTATCAACATCAAAAGTTTAATAATAAACTGGAAAAACCAAAAGAAAACAATGACAAATAAGAATTAGGAATTACACGCATGTCTTTCTTTAGATAAATTGTATAACAAACTATTACATAATGGATATATATATATATATATATATATATATATAGAGGATTCAAAGTAATTAATACTCAACTAATTAAATGCATCTTTTCACATTCACAAAAATCAATAATACACGTTCTCAATCCATTAGTATTCATGCCTATCCATGCATGTATACCCTTTCACAAAAAAATTAAATGCGCCACTTCACATTTGCATATACAAAAGCAATATAACCAACAAAACAATTACGGTGGATATGAATGTCAAAAGTTTTTACAAAACAATGAATGCATGCGAATTATCCCAACATTTAATATGAATGTTAATGTGAAAGACTTCTACAAAACATTGAATGTGAATGTGAACGGTTTCTACAAACCAAATAACAATTTGAGCATTTAATGTGAATGTGGATGCGAGAAATTTATACAGATTATTGAATGCGAATGTAAACAATCTATACAAAGCAAATAGGCCAAACACATGTAATTATTATAGAGATCATGCTGGAATCTTACATGGAATTTAAGAGATCCTTGCTGGAATCCTACATGGTGTCCAAATGGTGATCAATAGCAAGAGTGGGCCTTATAATTAAATTAATATATAGATATAGATGCTTTTGGGATATATTATTATTTTTATTTTTTTGTAAAATAATCATTGAGTAAATATTTTTTGTTTTAAGGGAAACATATTTAAATGCATATATTTCTAAAGGGGTTTATTATTTACTTTTTCTAAAAACTTTCTCAAGTACTTCCAAGAAATTTAAAAATTTTCAGCAAAAAAATGTGAATTTAAAAAAAGAAAATCTTTAAATATTTTTAGAATCTAAAAAATAACGTTATAGATTTTGATCAAATGTTGTAAACAAATATTAAACCGTTTTTAATTATAATACGAAATCAGTTTTAATAATATACTGAAATGGTTCGCAAATTCTCATACTGTATAAAGAAAAGGATAAAAATTCAAATTTTATAATTAAAAAAAATTCAAATTTATTGACTTTGGATGAACTCCAGATGCAGTATCCTTTGGAAATCTTTCTCAGAGCTTTGGATTTTCAAACTTGCAATTGCATAAACAGACAGAGAAAGCTAGCCTTTTGAAAAGCACGCCACATGACTCAAATTTCCAAGTCAGGACCCACAAATATTGACTTCCAAACACCTTCAAGTCATCCAATTCCATTTACTCAGGCCGCCTCTATCCCCTTCCCATAACAAATCTCTCACAGAGCTTTGGATTTTCGAACTTGCAACTGCAAATGGCTGATGCTTTTGTTCAAATTTTGCTGGAGAATTTGAACTCACTCATCCGAAAGGAGGTTGGGTTGCTTTGGGGTATTGACAAAGACATGAAAAAACTTTCCAGCTTGCTCTCAACTATTCAAGCTGTGCTGGAAGATGCTGAGGAGAAGGAAGTGCAAGACAAGGCGCTTCAGAATTGGCTGCAGAAGCTAAAAGAAGCAGCTTATAAGTTAGATGACATCTTGGATGATTGTGCAACAGAAGTCTCTCGATTAGAGTCTAAAGCCCAAAATTCAAGGTTTATCAACAAGGTAAACACTTCTCTCTTAAATAAACTTCTTCCAGATACTATTTTATTTTGTCGCAAGATTGGCATGAGGATGAGAGAGATTAGAGAGAGGTTAGATGAAATTGCAGAGGAGAAGACAAAGTTTCATTTGACTGGGGTAGTTTCACAGGGGAGAGCTGAAGTCAGAGAAGAACGCCAAACAGGCTCCATCATTGCTCAATCTCACGTATACGGTAGAGATGAAGATAAAGAAATAATTGTTGAAAATTTGGTGAATCATGTAACTTGTTGTGATGACATTTCCGTCTACCCTATTGTTGGTATTGGGGGGCTTGGGAAGACAACGCTTGCTCAGGTGGTCTACAATGATGAGAGAGTAAGCATGCATTTTGAGCTAAGAATTTGGGTTTGCATTTCAGAGGATTTCAGTGTGAACAAGATCATAAAAGCTATAGTTGGATCTGCAACTGGAACTGCTTGTGAAGATCTAGACTTAGACCCTTTGCAGAGACGCCTTCAAAATATATTGAACAGGAAAAGGTATTTGCTTGTGCTAGATGATGTATGGAGTGAAGATGAAGAGAAGTGGGATAGATTAAAGTGTGTGTTGGCATGTAGATCGAAAGGTGCTTCGATTATTGTCACTACTCGAAGCAGAAAGGTTGCATCCATTATGGGAACGCTTCCCATGCATCATTTGTCAGGATTATCAGAAGATGAATGCTGGTTGTTGTTTAAAGAACGGGCATTTGGACAAGAGAAAGAAGAACGTCCAAACCTTGTTGCAATAGGGAAAGAGATAGTGAAGAAGTGTAGCGGTGTGCCTCTGGCTGTGAAGTCTCTTGGAAGCTTGATGCGTTATAAAAGTGAGGAAAATGAGTGGCTTTCTATCAAGGAAAGTGAGCTCTGGAATTTGCCACAAGATAAAAATTCCATCTTACCAGCCTTAAGATTGAGTTACTCCCATTTGCCATCGAAAATAAAAAGATGTTTCGCCTTTTGTGCTGTCTTCCCAAAGGATTCCGAAATTGAGAGACAAAAGTTGATTCATCTTTGGATGGCCAATGGCTTTATTCAGGGCAGTCAAAATTTTGAGCCTGAAGATATTGGCATTGAGATATGCAATGAACTATATTGGCGATCCTTTTTTCAAGATGCAAAAAAAGATGAGTTTGAGAATAATTTATTATTTAAAATGCATGATCTTGTTCATGATCTTGCACAATTTATTGTGAAGGATGAATTTGCTGTCATGGAGGCCAAAGATTCAAATAATATCTCAAAAAGCACTCTTCATGTCAGAATAGATGTTGATTCTTTCCAATCATCATATAAAGGTTCCGAAGCCTTGCATGGAGTTGAAACCTTAAGGACATTAATAATGGCTCCAGCCTTGGGATTTTCTTATGACATCTCGAGATTAATCTCGTTGAGAGTTCTCCGTATGCCTACAATTGGAATGTTGGCGTCATCTTCAATTCGCCATTTAAAGCATTTAAGGTACCTGGACCTTTCTCACAGCGGTATCAAACAGCTTCCTAAATTACTTTGTAGCTTGCTTAATTTGCAGACTTTGAATCTGAAAAATTGTTTTTCACTTCGGAAGCTACCTAAGCGCATGAGATGCTTGAAAAATCTTCGATATTTTTATCTGAATGGTTGTACCAAGTTATCTCAAATGCCTCCACATATTGGACAGATCACTTGTTTAAAAACTTTAACTCTCTTCATCGTGGGTGAGACGAGAGGTTGCCACTTAACTGAATTGAAAGATTTAAATCTTGGAGAAGAATTATGTGTCACGCATCTTAATAGAGTGGACAATCTGATGGATGCCCAAGAAGCCAATTTGGTCGGAAAACCAAATCTACGCCGCTTGGAATTATCTTGGGAACTTAATAGTGAATCGGAATCCCAGGAAAAGGTTGAAAAAGTATTTGAAGCTCTCCAGCCTCACTCAAACCTTGAAATTTTGAAAATTCAAGGTTATAAAGGTGCCAAATTTCCAGTTTGGATCGATGGTCAAATTCTAAGTAATGTTGTTTCTATCATGCTCTCTGACTGTGAGAATTGTCGACAACTTCCTCCCTTGTGGCAACTTCCTCGGTTTCGATATCTTACAATTATAAATTTGATTAACCTGGAGTACATTGATTCAAGTTTCCAAGGTGACAGAAAATTCCCGTCTTTGGAGGAACTCTGTATTGATGGATTGCCGAGGTTACAAAGGTTGTCAAGACAGAATGGAAGCGAGTTATTCCCATGTCTTACGAAGCTAAAAATTTACGACTGTCCTGAATTAACCACCCTACCTTGTCTTCCTTCAGCAAAAAGTTTAGTGATTCGTTCTTGCAATGGGGAACTTCTAAAATCAATCTCACATTTCAGAAGCCTTACTTACCTACATCTTGATACAAATTGCGATTTAGTTTACCTTCCTCATGAGATTCTGCAAAATCTCTCCTCTCTTTGCGAAATGTCTATTAGAAGGTTCAAAAAGCTTAAAGGGTTTGCCACTGATCGAGCTAGCCTCAATGGTCTTAAATCGTTAACAATTTATGAATGCTCTGAGCTTGAGGCTTTTCCGGAGCAAGTATTGGAAGGCCTAAACTCTCTTCAGCATTTGACTTTAGAAAAGTGCATAAAGTTTTCAAATTTGTCAGAGGGGTTACGACATCTCTCCGCCCTTGAAAGCTTGAGGCTTAAGGGCTGCCCAGAGCTGGTGACTTTTCCTAATGGTATCAAACACCTTAGTTCCCTCCAGGAGTTGACCATATGTGGCGAACACCCATCATATTTGGGTGGCAATCATTGTCCAAAGTTGACAGTCTTACCTGAGTCCATAAGGTATGCCCCTACATTGCAAACACTGATCATACGCTGGTACCCCGAATTAGCATCATTGCCTCACTGGCTGGGAGACCTAACATCTCTTCAGTCTTTGTATATTGATGAATGCCCAAAGTTGTCATCTCTTCCCGCCAGCATCCAGAGCCTCACCAATCTACAAGGATTGTTCATTTTGGCATGCCCTGAACTGGTGAAGAGATGTGAGAAGGAAACAGGAGAAGATTGGTACAAGATAGCACATGTTCCGAACGTTCGTGTTGTAACCTTACACCCATTATATGGTTGCATCAAGTTGGGAGGTATGTCAATCAATGTTCCCCTTTTGAATTTCTTCAATTGCTTAAGTATTAACATTTTGTCCCCATAAACATAGATTTTATTTTGATTTATTGCAGATATGAAGAGCTAGTGATACTGTAGGAATGCCGTGAAGGTATGAACTGTTAGTTGATGCTTATTGCATAATTATTAATTAATGTGAAACTTTCATGTAATAGTATATGTATACAACATATTTCTGCTTGAAGTATATAACCAAAAAACCATGAAAAGGCTCTGTGACTAATTTCATTTCGATTATGATTTTCTCCTTGTGTGGAGATAACGATACTAAATTAAATTAGATGCAATTTATTGAAGATTATCTATAATGCTTTTAGGGTTATTTTATTTTATTATTTTTGTTAAATAATCATTGAGTAAATATTTTTTTATTTTGAGGGAAACATATGTGAATACGTATATTTTTAAAGGGATTTATTAATTATTTTTTCTAAAAACTTTCTCAAGTATTTCCACGTAATTTAAAATTTTCCAGCAAGAAAATGAAATTGCTATTTTTTTTTTTTTTTTTTGGGTAAGAAAATCTTTAAATATTTTTGGAATCTAAAAAATAATGTTATATATTTTGATCAAATATTAAACCGTTTTCAATTATAATATGAAATCAGTTTTAATAATATACTGAAAAGATTTGCAGATTCTTGTAATTAAAAAAAAAAAAATCAAATTTATTGACTTTGGATGAACTCCAGATGCAGTATCCTTTGGAAATCTTTCTCAGAGTTTTGGATTTTCAAACTTGCAATTAAAAATGGCGGACGTTTTGTTCATGAATAAGGTCAAACTTGCAATTGCAATTTAAAGAAAATAGTAATTCTTTCGTGCCAATTCAGGGCTTACAGGCCTTGTTTGCAATATCAAATTCATTAATGGGTTGGGCTTCTCAAGATGAGTCCAGTTTTTGCTGATAGTCCAACATTGTTCTATAAGCTAGATTAAGGTATAAACTAAAGGAGGGTTGGGCTATAGAAAGAGTTATCTATAGACTAGATTAAGGTACAGTTTAAAGAGCTAGTAGTCTAAACGAAGAAAAACAGTTTAAAGAGCTAGTAGTCTAAACGAAGAAAAGGCTATCATCGAATTAGTGTCAATAGACTGAAAGCCGGTGGGAGAGCCCTCAGCTTAAATACCACACTTTATAAGATTCTAATAGCTAACGTCCGACCAGTGTTGACAGAGTAATCTTATCATGGGAAAAGTAAGCTTTTGTAGAATCTTTCATTTCTTTTTTCTCCTCAATCCTCAATCTTTTATTCTTTACAACGTCAATCATCCATTAGAAGTTAATGAGCACTGTCGGTGAAGGCATTTGTCTCCATTAGTGTTTCAATCTTACCACTTCATCAATCTACACATATTCTTACTTTGATAATAAATTAGAGTAGAAATTGCATTTCCATCTTCCTTGAAAATTCCAGAGACGGGAAGCTAGACTTTTCAAAAGCCTTCTATTTCTTTTCTCTTAATTGTTAATCTGTAAATTTCTTATTAGCATCCCACATGACTCAAATTTCCAAGTCAGAATCCACAAATATTGACTTCCAAACACCTTCAAGTCTTCCAATTCCGTTTACTCAGGCCACCTCTATTTACTTCCGATCACAAATTTCTCTCAGAGCACTGGATTTTCGAACTTCCAATTGCAAATGGCTGACGCTTTTGTTCATATTTTGCTGGAGAATTTGAACTCACTCATCCGAAAGGAGGTTGGGTTGCTTTGGGGTATTGACAAAGACATGAAAAAACTTTCCAGCTTGCTCTCAACTATTCAAGCTGTGCTGGAAGATGCTGAGGAGAAGCAAGTGAAAAACAAGGCGCTTCAGAATTGGCTGCAGAAGTTAAAAGAAGCAGCTTATAAGGTAGATGACATCTTGGATGATTGTGCAGCAGAAGTCTCTCGATTAGAGTCTGAAGACCAAAATTCAAGGTTTATCAACAAGGTAAACACTTCTTTCTTAAATAAACTTCGTCCAGATAATATTTTATTTTGTCGCAAGATTGGCATTAGGATGAGAGAGATTAGAGAGAGGTTAGACGAAATTGCAGAGGAGAGGACAAAGTTTCATTTGAATGAGGTAGTTTTACAGAGGGGAGCTGAAGTTGGAGAAGAACGCCAAACTGGCTCCATCATTACTCAATCTCACGTATATGGTAGAGATGAAGATAAAGAAATAATTGTTGAAAATTTGGTGAATCATGTAGCTTGTTGTGATGACATTTCCGTCTACCCTATTGTTGGTATTGGGGGGCTTGGGAAGACAACACTTGCTCAGGTGGTCTACAATGATGAGAGAGTGAGCATGCATTTTGAGCTAAGAATTTGGGTTTGCATTTCAGAGGATTTCAGTGTGAAGAAGATCATAAAAGCTATAATTGGATCTGCAACTGGAACTGCTTGTGAAGATCTAGAGTTAGACCCTTTGCAGAGACGCCTTCAAGATATATTGAACAGGAAAAGGTATTTGCTTGTGCTAGATGATGTATGGAGTGAAGATGAAGAGAAGTGGGATAGATTAAAGTGTGTGTTGGCATGTGGATCGAAAGGTGCTTCGATTATTGTCACTACTCGAAGCAGAAAGGTTGCATCCATTATGGGAACGCTTCCCATGCATCATTTGTCAGGATTATCAGAAGATGAATGCTGGTTGTTGTTTAAAGAACGGGCATTTGGACAAGAGAAAGAAGAACGTCCAAACCTTGTTGCAGTAGGGAAAGAGATAGTGAAGAAGTGTAGCGGTGTGCCTCTGGCTGTAAAGTCTCTTGGAAGCTTGATGCGTTATAAAAGTGAGGAAAATGAGTGGCTTTGTATCAAGGAAAGTGAGCTCTGGAATTTGCCACAAGATAAAAATTCCATCTTACCAGCCTTAAGATTGAGTTACTCCCATTTGCCATCGAAAATAAAAAGATGTTTTGCCTTTTGTGCTGTCTTCCCAAAGGATTCCGAAATTAAGAGACAAAAGTTGATTCATCTTTGGATTGCCAGTGGCTTTATTCAGTGCAGTCAAAATTTTGAGCCAGAAGATATTGGCATTGAGATATGCAATGAACTATATTGGCGATCCTTTTTTCAAGATGCAAAAAAAGATGAGTTTGAGAATAATTTATTATTTAAAATGCATGATCTTGTTCATGATCTTGCACAATTTATTGTTAAGGATGAATTTGCTGTCATGGAGGCCAAAGATTCAAATAATATCTCAAAAAGCACTCTTCATGTCAGAATAGATGTTAATTCTTTCCAATCATCATATAAAGGTTCTGAAGCTTTGTATGGAGTTGAAACCTTAAGGACATTAATCATGGCTCCAGCCTCAGGATTTTCTTGTGACATCTCGACATTAATCTCGTTGAGAGTTCTTCGTATGCCCACAATTGGAATGTCGGTGTCATCCTCAATTCACCATTTAAAGCATCTAAGGTACGTGGACCTTTCTCACGGCGGTATCAAACTGCTTCCTAAATCACTTTGTAACTTGCTTAATTTGCAGACTTTGAATCTGAAAAATTGTTTTGCACTTCGGAAGCTACCTAACCGCATGAGATGCTTGAAAAATCTTCGACATCTTCATCTGAATGGCTGTACCAAGTTATCTCAAATGCCTCCACATATTGGACAGATCACTTGCTTAAAAACTTTAACTCTCTTCATCGTGGGTGAGAGGAGAGGTTGCCACTTGGCTGAATTGAAATACTTAAATCTTGGAGAAGAATTACGTGTCACGCATCTTAATAGAGTGGGCAATCTGATGGATACCCAAGAAGCCAATTCGGTCGAAAAACCGAATCTACGCCGCTTGGAATTATCTTGGGAACTTAATAGTGAATCAGAATCCCGAGAAAAGGTTGAAAAAATATTTGAAGCTCTCCAGCCTCACTCAAACCTTGAAATTTTGAAAATTGAAGGTTATAAAGGTGCCAAATTTCCAGTTTGGATGGATTATCAAATTCTAAGTAATGTTGTTTCTATCACGCTCTCTGATTGTGAGAATTGTCGACAACTTCCTCCCTTGTGGCAACTTCCTCGGCTTCGATGTCTTACAATTATAAATTTGATTAACCTAGAGTACATTAATACAAGTTTCCAAGGTGAGAGAAAATTCCCGTATTTGGAGGAACTCCACATTGATGGATTGCCGAGGTTACAAATGTTGTCAAGACAAGATGGAAGTGAGTTATTCCCATGTCTTACGAAGCTAAAAATTTACGATTGTCCTGAATTAACTACCTTGCCATGTCTTCCTTCAGCAAAAAGTTTAGTGATTCATTCTTGCAATGGGGAACTTCTAAAATCAATCTCACATTCTAGAAGCCTTACTTACCTATATCTTCATACTCTTTGTCATCTGTTTCAGCAAATCACATGTTACATACTTACATTCATGGATCATTAACGTACAAAGTAGACATAATATACTAAAAATGTTTGCAGATTCTTATACTGTATAAAAAAAAAAGAATATAAATTCAAATTTTATAATTAAAAAAAAAATTATTAACTTTGGATGAACGCCAGATGCAGTATCCTTTGGAAATCTTTCTCAGGGCTTTCGATTATCAAACTTGCAATTGAAAAGAGTAACATTACACTTACAATCTCTTCTTGCAAACTTTTTTTCACAACCCCAAGGTGATAATTCGTTATTGATTATCTCGCAATGAGACCCATCTAGTCAATCTTGAACCCTTCCTAGTGGTTGTGATGATGTGTTTCAACCTTGAGAGGAAGATTTCAAGATTTGACAGCAGTAGAAGCACGCCATTCATTAAAAAAAAAAAAAAAAATGAGACCCATCTATAAATCATAGTTAACTAATTGTAAATTATCATATCGAGAGAACAATTGTGAATTATCTCTTTCAAAATTGTGAAAAAAAGTTTATGAAAAAAGACGGTGTAATAGTATTTAATTGAAATGGCGGACGCTTTTGTTCATGAACAACAGAACAAGGTCTTATTTGCAATATCAAATTCAAGATGAATCCAGTTTTTGTCGATAGTCCAGTATTGCTCACGATTCATCTCCATGACTAATTATATTTAATCTGCATTTCTACCTCATTCCTTTTTTAATTAATTTGCGGACAGGTTTAGAAAAGATTGACACTTGAACATCAGACACAACAACTGTTTTCTGCGCAACCAGTTGAAGAAAGTAACTCTTAAGTTCAAATCATCAACAGAATCGCTTGGCTCCCCCATCTATCTCCATTTAGACCAAACCCACAACAGCCCAACTCTTCAAGAAAGTGACAACAGTGAAGCCCCACAAGTATTTTTATCTTTGTCTCCTAAATTTCCAACTTCAACCCAACAATGCCCTCAGCAGATAAACCCAACAACGACCCATGATCAAGAATCTAATGATGTTGATGACATTAAAATATTAATGCAGCTTCTGGGTACATGCGATCATTTTGAAGAGAGAAACGAAAAAGAGGAAGACAGGGGTGGTGTTGGCAATTGTTGTGAATGTGAAGGTGGGGTTTTGTTGGAGTTAAGGGATCCAAGTGTGGGAAGGAGTGGGGAAACTGGAGGGATTCATTAAGTACTTTTTGGGAAGTTGCAAAGATGAGGAGCCCTTGAGGTTGACTTATTTGCTAATGGGCAAAGCTGCTTTTGCTTTAGATGGTGATGAATGTGGATTTGGTGGCTTGGAGTTTCCTTCTACTTTATTTAAATTTGCAATTAAATTTTAGGATTTTTTATTTATTATTATTATTTTGTAAAATAAACCATTGCGTAAACAGATATTTAACCATTTTTAATTGCACTATGAAATCAGTTTTAATAATATATTGAAAAGTTTTGCAGATTCTCATACTTTATATAGAAAAGGATATAAATTCAAATTTTATAATTAAAAAAAAAAAATCAAATTTATCGACTTTGGATGAACTCCACATGCAGCATCCTTTGCAAATCTTCCTCAGAGCTTTGGATTGTCAAACTTGCAATTGAAAATGGCCGGCGCTTTTGTTCATGAACAAGGTCATGCCATTATCAATTTCTTCTGTCTCCTAATTTCCACTTGTTGAAATAAAGCCATTGGCCAAATTCATCTACACCACCAAATAATCTCTCTCATTCAATTGCCAATCACGTGACAAAATAAAATAGTAGTGGGACGAAGCCTTTTAATGAAAGAAGTGTATACCTTGCTGATGAACCTTGAATTTTGGCGTTTAGACTCTAACCAGGAAGCTTCCGTTGCGCAATCATCCAAGATGTCATTTACCTTATAAGCTGCTGCTTTAAGCTTCCGCAACCAATTCTGAATTGCCTTTTCTTTTAGTTGCACGTCCTCAGCATCTTCAAGCACAGCTTGAATAGTTGAGAGCAAGCTCGAAAGTTTTTTCATTTCGTCGTTAATACCCCAGAGCAACCCAACCTCCTTTCGGATGAGTGAATTCAGATACTCCAGCAACATTTGAACGAGAGCGTCAGTCATTTTCATTTTCAATATGGAAATCCAACGCTATGAGTGAAATTTGTAATTGCAAAAAGATAGAACTGGCCGGCGAAAATAATACGAAAAGGCCTTTGTGTTCTTGGAAGTTGATGAAAATAAAAATCCAGGACATAAAAAAAGACTTGGAAATTTGACTCCTTATGCTTGTAGTTATCTAGAATTTCGATTGCCGTCTAAGAAAATTATAAACCGACTTAGAAAACAAATAGAAGTAATAAGAGCCCTTGAAGGGTTGTCTTGTTTTATATGGTTGGGCAATCACATTCCAGGAGTGAGCTATCCTGGTCCCGAAGATGGGAATGCATTTTCTCCTGTACTGAACTGATTGATGGACAAAAGGGCAATAGTAATGGTTGAACGAAATAGAGACTACAACAGGAACAAAATAATAATAGTAAAACAAAACAAACAGTAAACAAAGAAAAAATAATACGCGCGATTTACCCTGGTTCACCCAATGTGGGCTACGTTCAGCTGAGTCAATATTATTGCAATATGCCTCACCTCTCTCGTTTACAATTAATGAATTGCTCTCACACTCATAACAAGAGAAAAGTATGTTTATATACTAGGTTTAAGAGATTAAACCTAGTTTTACAAGGATTTCTATTCCTAAGCCCAACCCAAAAAGGAATTAATAACTTAAAGGAAATCCTACAGCGGTTATACATGGAAAAGCCCAAAACCGCCTACGGGCTCGGGGGCGTTGCCCCCGCGACCCCCACCCGCTCACCGGGGAGTGGGGCACCCGCCCGCTGACCTGTCAATAGGACCCCCGAGTGCGTCTCCGTTACCCATTAATGCTGAAGTAGTCGACAACTCCAACATTCTCCCACTTGGCGAATACTTCACACAATGAAGGCCTACCTCATCAACACACCATGTAAACTTTGCTAAGCTCACAGCCTTGGTAAGAAAATCTGCAGCATTAACAAGTGTATCAACCTTCTCTAACAACACCAATTTTTCCTCCACCTTTTGCCTGATGAAATGGTATTGTATGTCAATGTGTTTTGATCGCGAATGAAAGGCAGGATTCTTGGCTAAGTAAATAGCCCCTTGATTGTCACATCCAATCTTCACAGCATCAAGCTTGAAGCCAAGCTCTAAACTCAATCTTCGAAGCCACATAGCTTCCTTGCCAGCATGTGTCAATGCCATGTATTCTGCCTCAGTCGATGACAAAGCCACAGTACTTTGCCTTTTACTCATCCAACAAACAGCAGCACCAAATAAACAGAATACATACCCACTTGTGGAATGCCTACTATCGAGATCACCTCCCCAATCAGCATCCACAAAACCTATCACATCTAGCTCATCCCCAGTCGCCATGCCTCCATAACATAATGATAAATCCGAGGTCCCACGAAGATATCTAAGAACCCTCTTTACAGCACTCCAATGCTCCTTTCCAGGATTTGACATAAAGCGACTCAAAACTCCTACTACTTGTGCAATATCGGGTCGCGTGCACACCATGGCATACATCAAACTACCTACAGCACTCGCATATGGCACATGTGTCATTTCTTCAGCATCTTCCTCAGACTTAGGACACTGATCAGTAGACAATTTCACTCCCAAAGTCATAGGAGTCTTCACAGGTTTGCAGTCTACCATGTTAAATTTCTTCAACACCTCCTCGATGTACTTTCTCTGCCCTAACCACAATTTACAACTCTGACGATCTCTGGTAATTTGCATACCCAAAATAAAATTTGCAGCCCCAAGATCCTTCATGTCAAATTGTGCAGCCAACAAACCCTTCACAGAATTTATCAACTCTTTGCTATTCCCTATCAGCAGCATATCAGCTACATATAAGGTTAAAATAACAAAGACATTTTCTAACCTTTTTACATACACATAGTGATCCACGTTGCTGCGGCTAAAACCATATTGAAGAACATAGGAGTCGAACTTTTGGTACCACATCCTTGGTGATTGTTTAAGCCCATACAGAGACTTTCTCAACCTATACACCAAGTCTTCCTTCCCTTTACATACAAACCCCTCAGGTTGCCTCATGTAAATTTCCTCCTCTAAATCTCCATGTAGAAATGTCGTCTTTACATCAAGTTGTTCAATTTCAAGATCAAATGCAGCAGCAATAGATAGAACATCCCTGATTGATGTTAACTTGGCCATAGGAGAGAAAATCTCACCATAATCAACACCCTCAATCTGCGAGAATCCCTTTGCAACAAGTCTCGCCTTATACTTTGCAATTGTCCCATCTGCCTGCAACTTTCTTTTGAACACCCACTTGCAACCAATTGCCTTTCTATCTTTAGGCAATTTACATAGGATCCATGTATTATTCTTGTCCAGTGATTGCATCTCATCATTCATCGCAACCTCCCACAGATTTGCATCTTCCATGGCTCTTGCTTCATTTACATTCCTAGGTTCATCACCAATCATATTCAAAGCATGTAATCCACTCAAGGCACTTAGAGAGAAACGAACTGGTGCCTTTCTAACTCTTGTAGATCTCCTCAAAGTTGATGGCACCATAACTTCATCATCATAATCATCCTCTAAATCATCTATAGAACTCATCAGCCACGCTATCAAGTTTATCTTCATGGTCAGATTCTATAGACTCTAAATTTTCAGTCTCTGCAGCAACATTAGGAGTCATCTCCTCCTCTTGCTCTACTGTAGTCACATCAAACTGAATTTTCTTTGACTGCTCAAGATCTTCAGGAGTTCCCACACGTTGTTTTACCTCTCTAAAGATTACATCTCTGCTGTATATAATGCTTCTACTCACAGGATTCCATAACTTGTATCCCTTGATGCCATCCTTGAACCCCACAAACTTGCACTTCTCAGATTTACTGTCAAGCTTGCTTCTCTTCTCCTTTGGTACATGCACATACGCATCACAACCAAAAACTCGAATAAAAGACAGATTAGGTTTCTTACCATACAAAGCTTCATATGGCGTCATGTCTTTAACAGAAGAAGTGGGAGACCGATTCTTCAAATAACAAGCCATCGCTGTAGCTTCTGCCCAAAATTCAGACCCCAAATCTGTCGTATTCAGCATGCATCTAGCCTTCTCTAACAGTGACCGATTGAGACGTTCAGCCACTCCATTTTGTTGAGGCGTGTAAGGTGTAGTTTTCTGCCTTGCAATTCCATGTGTCGCACAAAATTGCTCAAACTTACTAGAGCAAAACTCACCGCCATTATCAGTTCGCAAAGCTTTAATCTTCCTGTCAAACTGATTCTCAACTAAGGCTTTAAATTCCCGAAATTTCTCAAAAGCCTCAGACTTGCTGCGCATAAAATAAACCCAACAGTATCTAGAAAAATCATCAATGAAAGATACATAATACCTGGATTTACCAACAGATTCCACTGGAGTGGGCCCAAAAACGTCACTATGAATTAACTCCAGTATATTTGTTGCTCTCGTGCCTGTCGATTGAAAACTAACCCGATTCTGCTTGCCTTGTAAACATTCCTCGCAAAACCCAAAACTCATGGAACAGTTAGGAATACCTTCAGCCATATTCTGAGTCACCAAAGTAGACAAAGCCGACTCTCCAATGTGCCCCATTCGCTGATGCCACAATGTTGCAGAATCAATTTCTTTTTCAGCCTCCTTTTCCGAAACATAACCACCCAAAGAGGAATTTCTTACAACTGATGCTTGCAGCCTGTATAATGTACCATGTCGAACTCCTCGTGCAATAACCATAGATCCCCGAGTCATCTTACAGGATGTTCTGTCACAATTGAATACTATACCTGCGTCAGCCATTGTTCCAACAGAGAGCAGATTTCTACTCATACCAGGGATGTGCATCACTTCAGGGAGCGTCCTCACTGAACCATCATGCAACCTCAGCCTGATTTTCCCGCGACCAATAATCTTCACAGCAATATCATCTCCTAACAGAACGTTTCCTCCATTGTATGTCTCATACTCACAAAACCATTTCTTGTGAGGTGTCATATGGAACGACGCACCAATATCAACATACCAAACTGATTGGTCTGATCCAGCCATACATGCAGCAGCCATATACATATCACCATTTGATTCCCGTTTGTACGAAGTTTCAGCTTCCTTCCCCTTCACTGGTTTGTTTCTGCAATCTTTATTAAAATGCCCAAATTCCTGACATCTCCAGCATTTAATCTTACTTTTATCCTTGCTCTTAGATCTACCTCGCGACTTTCCCCTGTCGCCAGACTTATTAGAATTCCTATCAAGGTTTCGTCCCCTAGCAGTTAAAGCATCCCTAGACGAACCTTCTGAACCTCTTCGCCGCATATCCTCTACCAACAATGTAGAACATACAGATTCCCACGACATCTGTGTCAATCCTCCACCACCAATCTCAATAATCAGTTTGTCCCACGTATAAGGCAGCGAGCATAACAATGTTACCACTTTCTCAGATTCGGTGAGTTGTACATCCACAGCCAGCAGTTGATTCACCAGAGTATTAAACTCATCTAGATGTGCAGCAAGAGAATCCCCATCATGCATACGGAGATTGTACAATTTCTTGCGACGGAACAGCACGTTCACCAAAGACTTACTCAGATACATATTTTTCAGCTTCTGCCATAAACCCTTAGCCCTATCCTGATCCATCACATTTGTTAGAACAGAGTCCTCAAGACAGATGCGAATCAAACCTCTGGCTTTCCGATCCATCTTGTCCCATTCAGCAAGTGCGGCACGATCAGTCGCTGATAATTCTCCTTCAGCAGGTTTAGACCCAAGCGTACTTGAAACTCCAGTTCCAGACGTTTCACTCGTTGTAACAACGGCAGTCCCGACTGTTGGCCTATTATTCACAATTGCACCCCACAGGTCCCTATCAACGAGTAGATCCTCCATCCGCAGTTTCCAAAGCTCGAAGCGTTTGCCGTCGAACTTCTCAATCTCAACCTTTGATCTCGCCATCTCTAAATCACGATCTAACAGAACCTTGCTCTGATACCAATTG